CCAATCCCAACCCGAACCCCAGCCACAAAAGCGAACTGGGACGCACTACGGTCTTCGAACTAATTGAACGTCTCTGCGAGGCCAGCTACAAGAGTTCAGAGGTGACCCTAAAGTGCTGCAGTTACTTCCGCATGGAGGCACCTGTTTTGCTTTGGCCACCGACTGCTCCGTATGAGCAAAAGTCCCACATCTTCGGCCGAGAACCCACAATTCGCCACACAGACCAACATATTGACGTGTGTGGCTTCCTGGGCCTTTCAGACATTGGATCACCAGCCACCCTGAGTCGTCACTGGGTGCTTCCCAAAGTGGAGCGGGAGAAGAGCGGCGGCAGTCGACGATCCGGAAGTCTGATTGCAGCGGCCAAGCCACCGAAACTCAATCTGGATACCAGCAATCCCAACTACGAGCTGGAGAAGCTGGAAGCCGATATCAAAGAGTTTTACGCCAAGGATTCAAAAGACACGGAAGAAAGTGGCGACGACGATGTGACCATTGTTTTGAAACCAGGCCCACAGACTGAACAGCAAAAAGAAAACCTATGCGTCCTCCTTCACGGTGCCCTCAAAATGGAGAACATGGCCGCTCTGGTTAGGGTGGGCGATAAGTGGTACGGATTCATATATGCATTCACCGACAGCAAGAAGAAGTCAAACCTGATGCTTAACATACTGCCACCCGGCACGAATGTGATTCCCTGGCTGGGAGATCTGGAGTTGTTGGGATTCCCCGAGGACCTGGCCCCCGGAGAGACAGCCAGCTTTCCGGTGCGTGCCGACCGGAGATCCTATTCCCAGAGCAGTGTGGTGTGGATACGACAGGCCAGCCTGCAGTCCGATGTCCAGAAGGTGCTGCGGCACGCCAAGAAGATGCCCGACAAGACGCAGCATTTCTACAAGGAGCTCAATCGGATTCGCCGGGCTGCCTTGGCGCTGGGATTCGTAGAGCTGCTCGAGGCACTGGCCATGCTGCTGGAGAAGGAGTGCGCCCATCTCAGCCTGAATGGAGCCAGCAACGAGTGCACCCTGCAGCTGCAGCACGCGGCCACGGAGCTGCGAAAGACCTCGAACAGGGATATCAAGTCCGTGATTATGCCGCTGCAGAAAGTGGGTGCATCGGATGCGGGCAGCACGGCTGGCACGGCTCCTGCTCCTGCATACATGTATTAAACACTTATTATGACCTTACTTTAAGACTGTGTTTGTTTTGTGTTAAGATTTACATTTACATCTTTAGGAAATACAGTTTTCTACTAAATCTAACGGTTTTCTGTGTCTACGATTTTGCACTTTACAGCACTAGCGGCTTTGCGTTATCGTTATCGATGACAGAACCAAATATTCTTGGCCGTAAAAATAATAACAATGGGAAGTCCAGAATTACCCTCAGATCCTGGTCAAGAGGGGCTGCCAACGCCACCGGTTGAGCATCCACGAGGAGGAGTGGAGAGCGAGGATGACGACGATTTGGATGCTTACGATGGCTACCAGCCACTCGCCTTGGACGAGGAGAACGACGCAGCGGATGTTGTGGAGGTTTCCAGGGATCCGGAGACCCCGTCTGCGGATAACGACGACGATATTGACCTGATGACTGCCCCAGTCACCCATGGTGACCCCAACATGCCTCCCATTGAGCCCGCTGACGTGGAAATCGAAAGACAAGTCTGGAGTGAGCCAAGACCCAGGGAACTCCAAATGGATCTTGATAAAGCACGAACAGAACAGGTAAGACGCACATTCCTATTTGCAATTCCGAGATATTCTTGTAATTTCCATCCCGACACTCCAGATCCTCAAAGCCATGTCCACGATAACGTTGCCCAACATCACAGTGCCGGATTGGGCGAGAGGAGTGCCCGAGGAGCGTTGGAAGCACGAGCTGCTGGAGCGGATTAACAACCGACACCATCCTCCGGAACCCTCAACGTCGTCGTCGCGCGAGAGCCATCAGCATTCCAAGAAAGAATAGCGTTTGTTGTGTATATTTAGAAAAAAAGTTCTCCAATATATGTATAATTTAGAATGATCATAAGAAATTGGTTCACGGAGATCCTAGAACGCAGCCAGCAAGGCCTGGCCAACAGAATTTACCTTGCTGAAGTTTTCGCCCTGCGGAGTGTTGGTGAGTTCCCTCAGCTTGTCCATCACATAGTCCACGGACACCACCTGGGCAATGGTCTCCTGGCCGCACGAAGTGGTGGTCAGGTTGCCGATGGCCTGCATGGAACGGTAGCACGCCTCCAAGTCCTTGGCCCACTTGAGCAGCTCCACCACACCGGAGGTAACCATATGACACACCTCAGACTTCGCCACATTCAATGTCTGCGAGATCGTGAGGTTCAAATAGAAGGTGGCCACGGCAATTTGCAAATTGGCAGTGCCCGCCTTGATGGTTCCCACGAGGTCGATGATCTCCGGCAGACGGGACATCACATGCTGCCGGCCGGTCGCGTGGCTCAGGCTGTTTGTCAGGCAGCGCACCACCATTAGCTGGTTGGCTGCCGATCCGGTCAATTGGGGTATGACGGTCCCCAGGAAATTGTGGCTGTTGTTCAGAACAACGAAAATAGGTTCATTGCGCACGGCCAGGCGAAGGATGTCCAGCACGGGGAACTGAAAGGACGCTGGCCACTTCAGCAGCAGATTGAGGGCTTCAAGGGAAGTCAGATCGAGTTCTGGCGATTGATCAGTGAATTTGATCACGGCCAACAGGACTTCATCACCCACTCTACCATCAACGAGCCCTAGCTTGCTATTGAACTCCCTGCCAAAAAGAAGGAGGGATTAGTACACCTCAAGCTTAGGAGAATATCTCAACGCACATCATTTTCTCTAGCACCTTCTTCGCATCACAAGTGTCGAAGGTGCGGTAGCTTCTCACGGGGAAGTGTTTGTCTCCAGATCGCACAAAGTTCACATCCACCTGCGACTGCGCATTGCTACTTGCTGTGGAGTAACTCGACGCTCCAGTGAAGGGATCCACATTGCCGCCACTCCTCACATTGGTGTTGCTCGATCCAGGAACGTAGCGGGAGCCACCAGTAAATGGATCCCTATAGCCAGCTGGCGCCTGCTCCATAGGCACAGACCCACTATTCGAGTTCTTCACAATAAAGTTGGCCACCTGGTCGAGGTAGGCCTGTGGCAGGTTATTGCGATGGATGAAGGTCTGGGCCACCTGCCAGGGATCCTCGCCGCGGTTGTAGGGCAACTTGATGGGCGGCTCCGTGTCGGAGATATCCACGTTGAACACAAAGTCGTACTCCTTGCCCTCGTGTAGTTTCTTGCCGGAGCTCGACTGCGTGCCCCCAGAGGCGCCCATCACATCGCCAACAAGATTCCAGTTACCCAGCGTCCAGCTGTAGCACTTTACGGAACCATCGGCATGACGCACCATCTTCGTTTGACCCTCGCGGGTTCCATTGGACAGGAGGGCCTCCGGACCTGGAAGACTGAAAAAGGATAACCATTTTTTTGTTATTTCTGTTACCAAGATTAACTTGTAGCTTACTCAGTTTTCTTGACGCCTCCAATCTCCTCGTTAATCTGGGACTTCCTGGTTGCCACACCCAAGTCAAAGGCTTTAAGGATTCCTTCGTTTGCTTGCCGAGCAGGAACGTGGCTGAATACCCTCACCACACCATCGCTACAGCCGGTGACAATGTCCCCGTTTTTTAGGCAGGCTACAGACCACACTGAAATGCCGGGATGTATGATGGGTGCTCCAAGCTCGTCGCCGGTAATCACATTCCACATGCGCAACGTACTGTCTTCGCCGCAGGAAACCACCACTTGGTCGCCGAGAGTCCGATTTTGGGCCATGGAGTAGATGTAGTTGGTGTGCCCGCTCATTTCACGGACGCACTCGCCATCCTCGTTCCAAAACCGTAGAACAGCGTCATTTCCGCAGGAGAGCAGAGTATTCGCATCTAGTCCCATGACACCCCTCACACAATCCGTGTGCCCCTTGAGCAGGCGCAGCTTCTCGCCCTCAGCGTTCCAGTAGTAGATGTTCTTGTCCGCACCGCCGGTCACATACTTGTGCTGCTCCTTCAAGGTGGCCACCGCCCAAACTGCCGCCTCGTGTCCCTCTAAAGCTATGAAGGACACATCACCGGCCTCGCTGATGGTCCATACCCGAGCGGTCTTGTCCCAGCTGCCGCTGATGAGACTCCGTGGCTGCAATCCTTCCGAGAGAGCACACACCGTGGACCCATGACCCTTGAGGGTAAGCAAGGGCACAAAGTCGTCCTGCTTGTAGATGCAGATGGTGGCGTCGTTGCTGGCCGTGCAGATCCACTGCTCCGACTCCAGGAAGTAGATGTACGAGATGAAGTTCTTGTGGTCCTGCAGAGTAAGGCTCTCAAAGTACTCGTTCCTAGGAGGACCGAAGGCAGCTTTAGGGTATTCATAGCGACTAGGCCCAGCCAACTCACCCACTGGGCTTCCAGACTTTGGTGCTCTTGTCCCTCGAACCGGACAGAATAGTCTGGCCACCTTCCGGAGTCGCAGGTCCCACAGCCACCGCCCGCACATCCATGCTGTGGCCCAGGAGCTCGCAGCTCAGCTTGTAGTCGTCCAACGATGGCTCCATGTTTGGTGTCCTGGTCTTCCCGTTATCGCGTTCCAGCAGCTCTGCTCAAAAATGTTACTTTGTTTGCCGGCTATCAGCGATTTTGCCATACGGTGCGAAAAAATCTGCACACTCAGATAGTGGTGAACCGGTCCTATCGGCTTGAGGTCAATAAACGATAGTTTCTGAATATGTTATTATATATTTTGTCTTGCATTTAAAAATACAACGTATTGCTGGGTTTTAAAAGTATATTTATTTATGTCAGCATGCGGAATATTTAATTTTCTTCTTCATTTTAGATTCATTTTTTAAATAGGTAAAATGAAGAAAATTATGTAGTCATTATAATATATTTTTATATTCTGTTAATCTACGATATACCAAGAAATAATAATTCAGATAGTGTTGGTAAACTTATCGATATTCAAGAAAACTATCGAGAACGGCTTGATCCCATTTGCCTTCTCTATGCTTAAAAGTAATGAATTGTTTTGTTTACATTTAAAAGTAATGGGTGGAAAAAGTTATTATTGCGACTACTGCTGCTGCTTTATGAAAAACGATCTGAATGTGAGGAAATTGCACAATGATGGCATTTCACACACAATCGCCAAGACCAATTATATGAAGCGTTACGAGAGTAAGCTATTTGGTTCAAGATATGCTACAAAAACCTTAATTTTTTTTTAAATTTTAGGTCCCAAAAAAATTTTGACTGAAGAGCGCCAGAAAACTCCTTGCAAACGATACTTCGGCGGCTACTGCAAGTTCGAAATGTATTGCAAGTTTACCCACTATAGTGGAAAAGAGCTACAGGAACTGGAGAAGTTAGGTGCGTGGTAAAATGCCGACCTAAAACGAAAGATTTTTCAATTTGAACCTTTCAGTTCTCGCTAAGAGGACGAATTCCCGAAAGAAAAATAAATGCAAGAAGTGGCCATGGAAAACGCATCTACAAAAGGGTTTACCTCCTTCTTTACAATCCATTAATCCAGCAAAGCTCAAACAAACGGACTTTAAGCACAGCTGGGGCTAAATATATTTACAAAATACACAATTAATGTCAAGAATTCAATATGCTAATTACTTTCTCCATGACGCGCGCCACCTTCAGGTTAATGCGCAATGTGCGAGCGTACTCATAGTGGTACGATTTCGGGGAATGCCCGCTTAAGTTCTCTTCGTCGGGATCGGCCAAATGCGCCAGCAGGAAATAGCACAAGTGTTCTGCAAGAAAAGAGAATTCGTTGCACATTAATAACGCAGCTGTACAAACGTGAAAGGTTAGGCCTCAGTCAGACTTCTCCAATGGATTGATTGTATTCCCTTTAGAGCGTACTTGGACTAATGCTTTCACATAAACCTACCCTGCTCCCCTTCCACGGCGTAGAAAAGCGGCGGGTTTCCGCCCCTCGCCTCAGATGCATTGATAACATTCCGTTTATGTGTACGGTTCTTCAGCGACTGCTTACTCAGCTCCAGCCGTTCACAGGCACGATCATAGTACTTGGCAAAGCCCTTTTCGTCCCTCTCATTCGCATTAGCAGCCTCCTGGGTTCGCCTGTACACCGTTTCCCCCAACTCTCGGTCGTCTATAGCATCAAGGATAGCCTCGGCAACGAGGAACTGGTTATTACGCACTGCCAGGTGCAATACAGTGTAACCATCATCATTGGTTAGCAGAAGACTGTTCAAATCGATTCTACGCATCAGTAGTCTAACGGACTCGATATTTATATTGTTTATCACCGCCAGATGGAGAGCTGTATTCGAGTTCTCGTAGATGTGATGTGTCAACAAGCGAGCGTCCAGGATGAGCGATATAATTTCGGGGTCCGTGTCGTTCGTCAGCGCAAGTTCCAAACAGTCCTCGCCATCTGTGGTTAGTAGGTCATTGATGTCCAAGTTCGCGTGGCAGCACACGAATATCTGACGCTTTACGCCGCAAATATCTCCGTGCAGTAATTTCTCGTGGATGGGTCTGAAATATGTGCAAGATACATACGCATTAAAGAGATGATATCACTACGATGATCTCATTCGCGTAAATGAATACTTACAGCAATCCTTCTGCGGACATTATGTTCGACTTTTTGAATTCGTTGGCCATTATGCGTAGAATCCGCTTCTTGCTGTCTTCGTTTGTATAGTCATCCACCAGGCTGAGCTGATCCGAGTTGCAGTTTCCGCTTATATAGTCCTCTACCAGGTACTGATTCAGCTGAACCGAGCTGATCGATATATCCGACATGTTGGAGTTTCTGCGCTGAGGGGTTTCTTTTGTGCAGCGATTTCCTTCATAATTTGGGGCATGCTGTGAAAAGGTTATTTATAATTCACATTAGTTATTTAGATAAGGCTGATTTGAATGCGAGGGGCTCGAGCTAAACAGTCACAATTCTGAGTAACTTTACTGTTGGAAATTGTAGATACTTCTATCCAGGAACAGATATCTGTAATAACTTTATTCCTCTTTCATACTTGATTTTAACCCTCTATATTTTATCATAGTAATTGTACTTACATTAACCTCCTTTTTCTTCTTTTTTGTGATGACGGGTGTGAGCTGCTTCTCCTCGCGCTCCTGGAGCGCCATTTCAGCCGCTGATCGCTTGACCACCTTTGGCACGCAGGTGTTTCGCTTTCTTCCGCGCTTTTTAGGAACTTTGGTCGGTTCTAAAGTTGGTTCTAAAGGCGTGGAACTTGGACTGGCCATGTGGCTATTAGTATTCCCATTGGCTTCGGACGATTCCTCATTTATGACCGTGATATCCGACCCCGAGGTCCTGTTTTCTGTGTCCCATTCTGTTTGCGAGGAGGCGTCGACTTTTTGTACTCCACAGGAACATTGTTTATCTTGATGCGAGATAGTGATCGTATCGCTATTATTGCCCCCGTTTATCGCGTCGATTACGCGTTGGGTGAGGGCTTTATCGGGAATTCGCATGACTAGTTTGAAGATTTCCTCGTAAACAGACTTGAAGGACTTTCGCTGGATGTAGGTGTTGGCGTTCTGTGGCGCTGGTATTGATATTAAACGCAGAGAACCGACTGGCTTGGCCAACAAAAGATCCGATCCGCCTGCGACGACTGGTCGGTTGTGCAGAGTTTTCGTCAATAGCACTTTTTTCATCGTGAGCGCTGTTCGGTACACTAATAAAATAATAAGCGTCAGCTCGTTATCGAATTTGGAGGGATTTCCAAGTTTAGGACGATCTGAAATAAAATAATTTGGTTTTTCCCCACGATGCACGATGGCAAGTGCTGGCACTCGGCCGCTGCTCAACACTTTTCCTAGAGATGGGCGATAGGCTCGGTGGGCACTCTGAACTTACTAATAATTTGAACAACCAATGTGATGATTGTACGTTATAATGAGAGCGTTGTTTTCGTTTAATAATAATATACGTACTTCTTTAAAAAGTATAAAAAAAATCCCTAAACGTCGAATAGCGCATGAATCTATTTTGCGTGCACCAACACATTTATGAACATACACTTGCCAGAAAAAGTATACGTACACACTCAATGCATAACTTTGATGGCAAAAAATGTATATTTATATAAAATAAATTTAAATAAATAAATAAATAATTTATATAATAAAAATAAATGAAATCGACTTCAATATACCTGTTACTTGCAGAGTAAAATGCAGAGTAGATTCGTTGAAAAGTATGTAACAGGCAAAGAGAAGCGATTCCGACCATGTAGAGTATATATAGTCTTGATCAGGATCAATAGCCGAGTGGAACTGGTCATGTCCGTCTGTCCGCATGAACATCTCGATCTCAGGAACTAAGAAAGCTAGAATGTTGAGATTAAGCATGCAGCTTCCAGAGACATAGACGCAGCGCAAGTTCGTTTTCAAATGTTGCCCACTCTAACGCCGAAAAACCGCACAAAATTCTCACGCACACACTTTTAAATTAAACATATTAAAATTCCCAAGCAACGAACATATTTCGTCTATTCTGTGATTTTCTACATTCTGCATGCAGCGTGATAGCTTACATTAGCGTACATACATACTTAGGCTAATCGATAAGAAGCATTTAATACTGAGTTTACAAAATACAAATATTTTTTTTTTACAAAATAGCAGCAAGAGTTCTTAATCCCATATTTCGTTGCCAAACATATTCGCTAAATACGCGCATTTGCGGCCCAAGTGCCATCTCTAGCTTCACCGAGCCTATCGATATTTCGTTGTGAATGGCAAATCGAAGTATTCTTGAGAAAAAAGATCCGGTAGTCCTCCATAGGGAAACCGGGATAAAAGGATTATAACTCGGTAGCCAAACAGATATTGGAGAGCTTCCGCATCGGAGCTCTCTTTCCTCTCGTGCCTGCCCATCGTCAAAGCCTTTGAGAGTCGGAAATGGACTCAAGTAGTCGGCGCAGTTACTCTGGAGGAAGTGGCAACGAAGGAGGACGGGGCAATGATTACTACAAGTCTAGGCCGGGGTCTCGTTACAGTCGATCCAGGTCGCGTTCCCGGTATGTTAAACTTACTAGATTCATGCGTTCGTGTGCATTAGAACTGAAAAAACCTTTTCAGTGAGCGGAACCGCGGCCATGGAGGATACAGGCACCGGAATTCTCGCTCCCGAAGTCGGGATCGGTCGCCCGTGTTTAGGAGCGATCAGCATCGCGGTGGTCGAGGAGGAGGTAGTAACGGTGAACCCGACCTGTACCACAAGCTGATCAACGACGACTACAGGGATCAGGATGATCGCAACTACAACTCCAGGAGCAACTTCGATAACCGCCAGTTCCGGAGACATGATAGCTTTGACCGTCGGAATCGGGACAGAGATTGCGAGAGCGATCGAGAACTAAACGACTATGAGTACGAACAGCGCTCCCGCGACTTGGACTCCCGCGATCGTAACTCCAAGGACAGGGACAGGTTTCAGAATAGAAGTCGCAGCAGGGAACACAGCAGACCATGGAACAGAAACCATAATCACGACGAAAGAAGCGGAAGCAACGAGCGGAACACGTGCGTATAAAGGCTATGTTCTATACCTAATAATAAGCCTAATCATCCAGGCGTCCCCGAGAACACCGCATGTACAACGGAGGTGGCAGAACCCGTAGTCGCGATCGAGAGCATCGGGAGCAAGATCGGGATCGTGATCGGGAGAGAAGGGGCTCTTCAGATTATGACAGCGATGAAGGCCACATGCGCAGGAGCAAATACCGATCCACCACTGAAGCTCTAAATATTATTATAATCTTTGGTCTAACTAAGGAAATGACCAGAGCAGATGTAAGCTACCAAGAAAAATAGCAAATGATAGATCCTCCAATTATAGATTAACTTCTCTAGATTATGAGCGAGCTGATAAAGGTGAACATGGAGCCTGCCTGCATTCGCATTATCCGGAAACAAGGAACAGGTGGGTTACGAAATCACTAAGTTTGTTCTTACAGCGCAGACGTAAGTAGGTTCTAAATGTATGAGCGGCTTGGCGCTAATGGAGGCGAAGTACAAGTACCAATCGAATTTACCCGGCCACATGAATCGAAAAGAATACAATACTCCACAAAAATGTTACAAACCTATCGAAACATTCAACATTTTTTGACGAAACCATTTTGTATCTGCTTCTATCCGAAAATTTAGATTCATCACGCGGTATAGCGTTTGTCGAGTTTAACACCGTTGAGGAGGCAAAGCAATGGATGGATATTACACAGGTATCAGCGCAATCGACCAGATCCCCTTGAATCTTTGATCATCAGCAGCCAAGGTTCTTTCCCAGGCAATGATAATAAGGAATTCCTCTCTGTTTAGTTATCTTTGTCCAACCAAAGATAAAAGTTACTTGGAAACTAAGCACGACAGTATTGTTTCATTAAAATTGCTCAAGAAAGCCACTCGAGGAGATTGTCATCAGCTTAAACTTCGCGTTACGAAACACAGAGCAATCCGGTGACTGTGTAGAGTGTGAATGAAGGCATCCATTCGATGAGTTACTAATCCGCAACCTTTCCTTCTCCTATTTCCATGTCTGGCGCTCCAGGGCGTTCTAAAGTTAAATGACGAGCGGGTGAGCATGCGGTACAGCCACAAGCGAATTCAGGACTGGAATTGCAACAAGGTATGTTCTAGGATGTTCCAGGATCATGTTCTATATATAAATAATGTGTTTCTTGTTCCAGTGCGGCGTCTGCAACTTCAAGTTTAGGTTCTATTGCTTTGTGTGCAAAACATCCCGGGAGGACAGCGAAACCACCTTCTCCTCCGGCAGCGAGGGCGTGGACGAAGTCAGCAGCATCCTCACCAAAAGTATACAAGCCACATACACTCTCTTGCCATCTCGCTTTGTAGATTTGATCGCAATGAAATCGAACAGACCACTGACCGCCACGATTTCTCTACCACTTCCTCAATCCACGCAGAGATCATGCTTCGCAACCTGGACGCCCTTACCAACGAAGAGGCTGTGCTCACCGCCCTCCAAAATCACCTAAAGGATCTGAGCAAGACGGTGAGCAAGGTGCTAATCAGTCGGGATTCCCTGACCCAGGCTTCTCGAGGAATTTGCTACCTTCACTTCGACACTCTCGTCGACTCGATGAATGTGCACAATGCATTGACTTCGCTGGATCCTCCACTTACCCTAGACGACAGACTTGGTAAACGGCTTTACATCTAAATGCTTTTTACAACTTATAAATAACTGATACTTTTTCCAGTGGCCATTACCTATTGCAACGACATGGAGGAGCGCCAAGCATTGCCCAAGAACTCTAAAGCATTAGCAGTTAAGGCCAACGATGCAACTGATAAAAACGGGGCCGTATCAGCGGTTCCTCCCTCAGGAGTGGGTGGAAAATATACTCTGGCCGATGTTCCACGACTCGCTGAATATAGTGCTTCCCTTTACGCTTCGAATCCCGCAGAGCACGCTCATTATGTCCAGTACTATACGGAATATTACACGGCAGATATAACCAAAAAGAACAGGGATTCTCACTTAACTGAAGCCAATTCCGGAGCAGCGGTTGCCCTCTCGGCCATCCAGCGCAAGCAGAAGAAGATGAACAGTATCGAGACCACAATCACAGCGGCGGCCACAGCTGCCGCACAGGCAGCGGCGGAAGTGAAGGCCACATTGGCTGCTCAAGTGGTCAGTGCGCCCAAGGGCAACGATGGAAAGATCTACCGTAAGTGACGGCATACTATTGTTTGCTAGCACTTCATTATATTTGATTATATTGCAGCCTCTCCCGACGTGACGCAGTACCAGTTTGATAAGACATCGGGCTACTACTACGACAGTACCACGGGTCTCTACTACGATGCCCACTCGCAGTACTACTACAACAACGAGACGGGTGCGTATCTGTATTGGGATCAGCGCAGGAGCACCTACGTGCTGGCCACGCCGGCCTCCACTCAGGCGGCTCTCCAGGAAGTCCTGGCCGACGCCGAACAAAAGGAGGAGGAGGCCAAAAAGGCAAAGGAGAAGGATAAGGAAAAGGAGGGCGGAAATAAGCACGACAAGGTCAAGGTGGCCAAGAAGATTGTCAAAGACATGGAGAAGTGGGCCAAGCAGCTAAACCAGAAAAAAGACTACACCGCAGTGGCCACCCCGCAACCAATATTGGCCAACGAAGTACCCACCACTTCGCGTGGCAATCAAGGCGGATATGCCGATGTGGGATTCTCTATTCTCGAGAAGAAGGAGCGGAGCAAGTTGAATGACTATGCGGCACCACCGGCTGTGGGTCCAATGAACAAGCTTGTAAATGCCTATGGCGGAACATCGGACTCCGAAGAGGACAGCGCTCCAAGTTCGCAAACCACACTGACCTCAGCAGGTGTTAGCGGCCGAGCAGGCGCTGAAGAGTCTGATTACGTGGACTTCCAGAAGCTGACGTGCCTGCTCTGCAAACGTGCCTTCCAATCGTTGGAAATTCTCCAGAAGCACCTGAGGATGTCCACTCTGCACAAGGAGAACCTGGCCAAACTCAACCACAGCACTGGAAGCAGCATCGAAGAGGCACTGGCGTATGTGAAACCGCGTTGTGTGGTGTGGTATATTATCATTGAATTCATTTTCATTCTCAGCTATCGAGATCGTGCCAAGGAGCGCAGGCTGAAGTACGGCGAGAGCGATCCTCCTCCACCTAACAAGAGCAGGGAGCGTTTCGAGCAGGAGATAAAGACACTGCACTCGCGGCAAAAGCATTCTACTAGCGCTGCTCCAGCCATGCCCATCAGTTCGAGCAACGTTGGCAGTCGCCTCATGCAGAAGATGGGTTGGTCCGAGGGCCAGGGATTGGGCAGGAAGAACCAGGGACGCACCCAGATCATAGAGGTAAATGAGGTGACTTTTAGCTATGCATTGCATTCAAATAAACACTTGTGTGTTCCCTCAGGCTGACGGACGCTCCAACCATGTGGGCTTGGGCAACAAATCGGCGCAAATGATACCGGGCAACGACTACAAATCCTACATAAAGAAGATGATGAAGCAGCGCTATGAGAATGCCTGAGAATAAGCCGTTTCACATGAAATCGTTCCATTTGAACTGAAATCGCCTTTTAATTCAGGTTTTTGAGAAACAGTGGCGCGAAAAGCTGAAATTATATTCATATTATATATGAAGCTTCTTGAGTATTGGCTTTGGCGTTCTTTTGAAGTCAACGAGAAAATGTGAAATTGTCCTTCTAGTTAGTAATATTATTGTTTGAGTTATGATTAAGCGAATTCAAATCCTTATTCGAATGTACAAAATAAAATCTAAAGCTGGCAAGTTTAAATGGTTCCGTGTTGGGCAACATCGCTTTGCCGGCGCTACCCAGCACTGCCCGACAGACAGTTATCGATAACTGGCTGTCAAATACTAGGGGTGGCAAAGGAGGCCGAGAATTTTTTCTATTCGTGTTTTTTTTGGGACCGGATAGCTATTTGTTTCTGTCTCAATGCACAGAGACTTCGAGTCTGGGAACAAGTTAAACCAGCTTCGCATCCTGTTGGAATTGTGGTAAACAAGTAAGATGTGCCTGCAAAGACGGTTCATCTAAATGGCAAAAGGCCAAATCGAAAACTCTGAATATAATTACCATCGATTCGCATTAGATATGGATTCTCGATATGGTCGCAGCTTCTCGGGAGGCAATGGAAACGGTAGCGACTCGGGACACAGGCGCTACACTCGCTCCCGTTCCCGATCTCGATCCAGGTAGGTCGTCCTTTGTCCAGCTGGAACCTCTAGGTGTAATGGACTACTCGAATATACCATTTCAGGGAGCGAAGTCGGGACCGCAATGAGTACAGACGTCGCAACTCCCGTTCCCGCAGTCGGGAGCGCTCCTCCCATTATAGACACGATCGCAGTCCGGATCGCGATCTCTACCGCGATCTGATCAACGAGGATTACGAGGATCAGGGTAGCTACAAGTCGAGGCACAGCTTTGACCATCGCCAGCATCACAAGGAGGATAACTACGATCGTCGGGATTCTGATAGTCAGGGTCGCAGGGATCATGATAGCTACAGCAACCACGACCGTCATGAACAGAACAACTACGATAAGCGTGGCCAGGATAAATACGATAAGGACCGCGAGCACCGCTGGAAAAACTACGATCGGGTTTCGAAGGAGCCCAATCATGATGACTTAGATCGGGGATCAGAGCGCAGCAGGTACGAACTTATCTAGATTGCATGTTAGTCATATAATGCTCGGCTTTCTCAGTGCTCATAGTCTGTGTATGTTTGGATTAAATTGTTTATTTACAAGGGTTCTATAGGAAGGGAATGTCTCAATTTCAATCAGGCCTTAAGACCTATCGTCTTTCACCTGGTAACCAATTGTAATGGAAGTCAAAATAATTTGAATTCACTTTGTATTGTACATAAGTGTCGGCATAAATGCATTCAAATCATCTTATGAATCATTCATGCTCGCTGTATTTAATTACATTGGATTGTATACATTGTTTCAAGCGAACCGAACGGGAAATATATTCAACAAATCGTAGTTTGTATAGCTTTAACTAATCGCTTCCTTTTCAGCCGCAGCAATGACCATCGGCAGTTCAATAATAATGGAAATAGCAACTCCAGCAGCAGTAATAGAGATCGCGAGAGGGATCGCGAACGCGACAGACAGTATTCCTCGGATGAGGACAGCGACATGGCCAGCGAATTTAGGCACAGAGGTGGCCATAGCAGTGGTAACAGCGTGGAGCCCTTGAACAACATAATCATCTTTGGTCTGAGGAAGCACGCCACGGAAGCAGACGTAATATTTCAAGAATAAGCTAAGAAAATTCAGAATTAACAAAGTAATCCCCCACAGATCATGGGCGAGCTGATCAAGGTGGACCTGGAGCCCAGTTCCATTCGCGTAATGAGGAAACAGCCAACAGGTGGGTCACATTTCTGTGAGTTATATTCGATTTAAAAGTGAAAAAGTAAAGAAAAAGCGTGAGTATTGCGTGACCAGCAATATGTTCGATATAGGACTTATACCAATTTAAATTATACTTGGCTTACGACATCAGCAGCAAAATTCCACAAACAAAAATACAATCCCCAAAAATGATACAATGCTTATAAACAACCAACAACATATTTTGACAAAAACATTTTCGTATCTGCTTCTATCTAAAATTTAGGTGCCTCACGCTGTTTTGCATTTGTCGAGTTTAAAACCGTTGAGGAGGCGAGACATTGGATGGAGTTAACCCAGGTATCCCTACAAACCACAAGAATCTTGAACATTCTCGAATCCGCCAAAACATAAATGACGGCAAGATCCAAAAGCTTGGCACCCACTGTAGAGATATGTATGCCTTGAGTTCAATTCTGCTGGTGGGCTGTTTTCCTTCCTTCCTGTTTTCCTTCTGCTTTATATCAGGGAACTGAACTCAAAGGCGGGATTTCGCGAAAAGGAAACAATCAGCATCTGCGGCATCTGCGCGATGCCGAAAAACACAGAAGCAACCTGGTGACTGTGTAGTCTGTGAAAGATTAGCTTCTCAGCAGTTTCAGTTACTAATCCTACTGTTACCTCTTCTATTTTTCCGCGCAGGGTGTCCTCCAGCTGGGCGATCATCGTGTCACCATGCAGTACAGTCACACTCGCATCTCGGATTGGACTTGCATTAAGGTACATATGTTCTGCAAATTTACAGATTGGCAACAATAACTAGCTTTCTTTATTCATCAGTGTGGTGCCAGCAACTTTAAGCGCCGCTTTCTATGCTACATGTGCAGCTCCTCGCGGGCGGAGAGCGAGAATGCTCTTTCCGGAGACGCCGAGGGCGTCGACGAGATCAGCCGCATCCTCACAAAAAGTATATCCACCATGAGCAATATCTTTCAATGCCGTTTCCCTAGCTAATCAGCTAAATACTCCACTAACCTGCCACGCTTTCCCCATGCAGAGATCATGCTTCGCGGCTTGGACGCGCTGACAAACGAGGAGGGCGTGCTCACTGCCCTTCAGCAGAGCCTGCCCGACCTGGCCAAAACAGTCAGCAAGGTGCTGATCAGTCGCGACGCTTTAACCCAGGCATCTCGGGGCATTTGCTACCTCAATTTTGACACACTCATTGATTCTATGAACGTGTTTAATGGGCTGACGGCGTTGGATCCGCCACTCACTCTGGACGACAAAACTGGTAGATTAAATCATTAGTCCTTTAAAAAATAGTTAAAACCATTTATTTCAGTTATCGTCACCTACTGCATTGACTCCGAAACTCGTCAAATGGGGCCAGCCGATGGCAACTTATTTAGACCAGCTGAATCAGTGATGCCTCCGTCTGCCGTTACAGTGGGCTACACTTTGGCGGATGTGCCTCGTCTAGCGGAGTACAGTGCGTCCGTATATGCCTCGAATCCGCTGGAGCATGCTCACTACGTGCAGTACTATACGGATTATTACACGACTGAAATAAGCAAGAACAGCGGAGATCCTCACGTGACGGAGGCCAACTCCGGAGCTGCCGTTGCTCTCTCGGCCATCCAGCGCAAGCAAAGGAAGGTTAGCCAGATGGAGACCATGACCACTGTGTCAGAGGCGAAGGCCGCCTTCCTTGCCAGGGGCGCAACTGCTCCCAAGGGTAACGATGGAAAGAAATACGGTAAGTGACTGATGTCGAACAGTAATGTCCAGTAAAGTCAAACATTCGATTCTTCATTGTCAGCTACTCCCGATGTTTCCAAGTACCAGTACGACGAGACCTCTGGCTACTACTACGACCTCGTCACGGGTCTCTACTATGATGCTCACTCGCAGTACTACTACAACAACGAGACGGGTGCGTATCTGTACTGGGACCAGAAGAGGAGCACATATGTGCTGGCCACACCCGCCTCCACCCAGGCAGCCCTCCAGGAAGTATTAGCTGATGCCGAGAAGAAGGAGGAGGAGGCAAAAAAGGCAAAGGAGAAGGAAAAAGAAAAGGAGGAAGCCGGCAAGCCCGACAAAGTGAAGGTGGCCAAGAAGATCGTCAAGGACATGGAGAAGTGGGCCAAGCACCTGAACCAGAGAAAAGACTACACCGCAGTGGCCACACCGCAGCCTATCCTGTCGGAAACTGAGGCGCCCACCACCTCGCGTGCTTCTCAAGGTGCATATGCTGATGTGGGCTTCTCAATCCTTGAGAAAAAAGATCGCGTCAAGCTCAACGACTATGTGGCGCAGGCAGGTCCTCCAGCGATCAGCAAATTGGTGGGCGCGTATGGAGGACCTTCCGATTCGGAAGATGATAATGGTGGCAATCAGAAAGCACTTGAAGCAAGCGGTGGGTCTAGACGAGGCGTTGCCGATGAATCGGACTACGTGGATTTCCAAAAGCTTACTTGCCTGCTCTGCAAGCGTGCTTTCCAATCGCTGGAAATCTTGCAGAAGCATTTAAAAATGTCCAATCTACACAAGGAGAATCTGGCCAAGCTTAAGCAGAATTCCACAGTTGAGGCTGGGATGGATGAGGGTCTATCGTAAGTGCCAATATGCTGCTAGAAAGTTGATAAACCAACTGATTTATTTACCCGTGTTTAGCTATCGTGATCGTGCTAAGGAACGCAGGCTGAAGTACGGAGAAAGCGATCCTCCTCCCCCAAATAAGAGTCGGGAGCGTTTCGAGCAGGAGATAAAGACTTTGCAGTCGCGCCAGAAGGATTCTTCTGGGGCTACTCCAGCCATGCCCATCAGTTCGAGCAACGTGGGCAGTCGCCTCATGCAGAAGATGGGTTGGTCGGAGGGCCAGGGATTGGGCAGGAAGAACCAGGGACGCACCCAGATCATAGAGGTAAGAGTCGAAGAGGAGGGGACGGATAAAGGAATATGCATAATGCAATGTTAATTTTATCCACAGGCTGATGGTCGTACCAACAATGTGGGGCTGGGCAACAAGTCTGGCCACTTGACGCCTGGAAACGACTACAAATCCTACATCAAGAAGATGATGAAGCAGCGTTACGAGAACGCATGAGACTCTCCTTGAAGTGTATGACTTTATTCCGCTTAAATATAGGGGCATTTAGGCATTGTTTACCTCGATTACACTTCCCCACCACATTGCGCTCATTTAGCATTAGTTGCGAAGTTAACATTGTAAATAAGTAGTTCGTAAATACAGTCTCAAATTAGGTTTGACTTAAATTTTGAATGCTCCAAGTGTGGAATGTTGCAGGGACATCTAAATCTCGTCCATGTAGCCATGCTCATAGGCATGGCGCACGGTCTTGAAAATCTCCTGGTTCGCCTCATCGCCTCCGATGTCCAAGGACAACTGGTGGAAGGCAGGGCCGTGCATATCCGTTTCGAAGAGGCGGGACAACTCGGCGCAATCCTTCTCAGCACCGAGCAGCCAGGGCAGGAAGTGCATGCACACCATTGGTCCGTAGAAGGCATATCGTTTAAAGTGGGCATTGAAGCGCTCAAAGCTGTAGTCCTGCAGCAACTGATCCACCCGATCATCGGTCAACTCGTTCCGGTTTCGGCGCAGAACCAGTTCCAGCATTTCGATCATGTATCGATGGTACTTGCGCAACAAGTCTGCGTAGATCTCGTTCCTGCCTTCGGATGGCGTGTTCATGTACATGAAGAAGCTGAGGTCAATGGCCGTGGTGCTGAAGCGGAGCTCCTGGAAATCGATGGCTTTGATACCGTCCACCCTATCCCCGTCTCCGTAGTGGAACAGCACATTGTTCCTGTTGTAGTCGCCGTGCAGGAAGGTGGCAAAGTGGCTGTCCGGTTGATCTTCGCCAAAGGAGCTGGTGCGAATTCTCTCCAGCAGGAGTGTCGGCTGCTGGAAGTACTTCTCCCGCAGTCGCTCTATGGCGACCTCGAATCCGGCATCTGCGCCCTGGAGGAGCTGCTCCTTCTGCCGGTCGTAGAACTCGTAGAACCGGTCGAAGGCCACGCGATACAGGACATCAAAGATGCCCGTTCCTGAGCCGGAAACGAAGGGCATGTCCAACACTCCCGCGCGTAGGCGAGCATGAACGTTGGGCTGGAGGATTTTCGTGGCATAGCCCAGGGCGTGGAACGGACCCACTAGCCCCACCATGGCCTCCAGTTGATCCCGACGAAGTGTGAGCCTTGGACCCAACTGGTAGCCATCGCCCTTGAGATGTTTCAGAGCCAGCACTGATTCCCTACCATTCCCGAAACCTGCAGAAAGGTAAACAGTGAAGGTAGAAGGGAGGTCATGGAAGCAACAATTTCAGCGTGGAGCGCACCTTCAACCTGACCAAACCTGGCGAAGTAGCAACGAGGAACCCAGTTCTTCACCACATCGCTTTCCAGGTGGCTCGTCCGCAGGACATTCTCATAGGCGGGCAGGATCTCGGCGTAGGCGAAAATTTCGTTGGAGAATTGGATGTACGAATTGCTGCTCTCCCGGAACTCCTCCGTTCCCTTCATGAACTTCACCAGGATGACCTCCGTTCGCTTGCGCTCGGCGATGACCACGTCCAGCGTAACGGTGTACAGGGCGGACATGAAGCCGTCCAGTCCATTGGAGCACTCTACGCTGTGCGATTCCAGCGAAGCACTCGGTCCAAAGTCCTTGAAGATATCGTACACCAGGTGGCGCTCGATATAGTCCAGCTGCTGCTGTTGCGTCGACATCGTGACCTCCACGCAGGATCTTAATGGCTAATCTTCACTTGCAATGTACTAGGTACGTGTGTACTTGACCGGGCAAATCATCAAAGTGGTATCGATAGCCACGAGCAGGGAATTTGGGAATTTGGTATATTCCCGGTTTCTGCGAAGTGGTCACACAGAACTGCGATTGAAACGTGCACCGGCGTATTGCGCGTAAACATAACACATTTCCCGGGGATTTATCTAGTCATTGCCACCTGAATGGGTCCCAGCAAGATTCCTCCGCTGACCTACAAGGTCGTGGCGGAGTGCTCCGTCTCCAAGGCCCGGGCGGGACTGATGACCCTAAGGTGAGCCTCTTCGTATGATGGATTCCTGAAAACTGTGACTAATCCGCATTACCAACTGTTCCAAACAGGCACAGCGAGGTAAACACGCCGGTCTTCATGCCCGTGGGCACACAGGGCACCTTGAAGGGCATCCTGCCGGACCAGCTCATCGAGCTGAACTGCCAGATCCTGCTGGGAAACACCTATCACCTGGGCTTGAGACCTGGAATCGAGACCCTCAAGAAGGCCGGTGGTCTGCACAAGTTCATGGGCTGGCCCAGGGCCATCCTGACTGATTCCGGTGGCTTCCAGATGGTTTCCCTGCTGCAGCTGGCCGAGATCGATGAGCACGGCGTGAACTTTCGCTCGCCCTTCGACAACAGTCAGTGCATGCTGACGCCGGAGCACTCCATCCAAATCCAGAACGCCATTGGCGCGGATATTATGATGCAGCTGGATGATGTGGTCAAGACCACCACCACAGGTCCCCGGGTGGAGGAGGCCATGGAGAGAACTATCCGCTGGGTGGATCGCTGCATAGAGGCGCATGCCCGCGACGATGACCAGTCGCTGTTCCCCATCGTCCAGGGAGGATTGGACGTGCCGCTGCGACAACGTTGCGTTTCCGCCCTGATGGAGCGCCAGGTTCGAGGCTTCGCCGTGGGCGGACTAAGTGGTGGCGAGAGCAAGCACGACTTCTGGCGGACGGTGGATGTCTGCACTGGCTATCTGCCCAAGGACAAGCCGCGCTACCTGATGGGCGTGGGTTTTGCGGCGGATCTGGTGGTCTGCGTGGCCCTGGGCATCGACATGTTCGACTGCGTCTTCCCCACCCGGACAGCTCGATTCGGTTGCGCCCTGGTGGACAGTGGGCAGCTGAACCTCAAGCAGCCTAAGTACAAAATGGATATGGAGCCCATCGACAAGGACTGCGAGTGCAGCACGTGTAAGCGCTATACCCGCTCCTACCTGCACCACATCGCCACCAACGAGAGTGTCTCCTGCTCCCTGTTGAGCATCCACAATTTGGCCTATCAGCTCCGGCTGATGCGCAGCATGCGCGAGGCCATCCAGCGGGATGAGTTCCCCCAGTTCGTCACGGACTTCATGGCCAGACACTTCGAGGCGGAGCCCGTTCCGGCTTGGATACGAGAAGCTCTGTCAGCTGTTAACATCCAGTTGCCGGCGGATCCGGAGCGGACAGATGACCAGAAACAGAGCCAGGCAAAGACCGAAAAGAGGCGCGAAACTGCGACCCTGGCAGAGGACCAGGTGGCCTCCAGCTAACATCACAGAGAAAGCTCTGTGTTTTGATACACTTTTATGTAGAAGCTTAATGTTCATTGGCACATTTAAATACCCTGAAGGCATTTTATATGTTATACGTGACATACGTCACAAATACCTAATAGACATACAAAAAATTGAAAAAATTAACTACATTTTAAGAAATAATATAGTGCGGAGGTATAAATTCATATCCCACTTTGTGCTTATAATTAATTGAATTTATTTTATTTATTTTACTAAAGGTTCCCTCAAGTTGCCTTAGCAGTCTATCACACCCCATCGCAGGGTAGCAGAATACTGGTTTTCGGTTCTGCTCTGCCCACGTATCTTCCGCTCTTGCGTAAAGCTCTCGATTCGGTTTTACCTATGGGAAAAAGCTCCCTGTAGCTATAGTATGACGCATAGTGCAAATCGGTGGCGATCGTGGTTCTCGCGCGGAACGACCGCCCAATTAGTGATATTCTACTTGATTTTCGCCTTTTCCACGGCTTCCTAGAGCAGATGTGCGGTAAATAGGGAAAACAAAGATCGGATCGCTGGGAAGCACTCACTCTTCTGTGCCTGGCGCATATCTGCTGTGGACTGAACTCTCTGGGGGACAAGAGATCCCAGCGACTCGAGACCGAGACTCGAGATCTCAGAGAGCGGAGTGGAGTGGTGCTGTTGGTGCTGCTGTTGCTTCTGGCGCGGTGGATCGTTCAGTGAGTCCCCAAGCGTTGTCGCGTCCACTTTGTCGCGGTTTCTGTCGCGGATTCGAACCACTGACTAACGGTAGTGCTGCACGCATCTGGCGGCAAATTGGCAGCGAGAAGCCCGCGCTAATAATACTTTTTGAAAGCCGCCGAAAGGATTGCGAGTCCATATCAAGCATACGCCCCATCAGCCAATCAGTTGTAAGGAGCCCCCCAATTTATTGGTTTTCCACTGACAATTAATCACGGACTTGCTGTGCGTGTGTGTGTGTGTGAGTGCTGGAGTGACTAGTGTGTGTGTGAGTGTGAGTGTGATTTTGCCTCGATTCGTTTGCCAAATGTGGTAAAAGCGAATGAAATAAAAAAACACATTCGAGTCGACAAACAATCGTGCTTTTTATGGCGCTGTCGCCTTCGACTGAGCCCAGGATTTCGATTGGAGCATCCACGGGAGTGGAAAGTGCCCGAAAACCCTTATATAAAGTATACGCCAAGTGTGTCTGCCAAATCCAAAAGCGACTTTTCCGCTCGCTTTATTATTTATATTTTTGTATTTGCCATCGTTTTTGGCTTTGGCCTGTGTGTTTTTGAATTTCATGGTTTCATTTCTTTAAATAAGTTTTATTTATAGCACTTTTAGTTATTTTTGTGTATATGTTTTTTTTTTTATTTGTTCTCACCAATTTCGCTGCTGCCCAGTTCGCCTGATTATTTTCCGAAATCTTCACGCCGATTCTTTGGAATATTCGTATGGGGCTTCCATTCTGAATTCTACTGTGTGCACACGATGTGTGAAGTGATTTGTGTTCGAAATTCGGTTTAGTTAAAGGTGCCCATAGGGTGGACCACAAACCGGAGAATGCAAGTATACTCAGAAATACTGTGGAAAAATCAGAGAGAATCGTGGGAAGAACGCACTTCCAAAACGCAAAATATAGAGAAATGGCAATGAAATTCGCATACCATGGACATGCCAAGTATATAGAGTTTACCTCCTGAGTAATCCCATAGATAAACTGCTTATAAGCCTCTACTATTGCCTCATTTTTGAAGCACCCAAACTCGCTGGCCACAATTCATAAGTAATCGAAAAGAGTAAACACCCAATGGAGCCGATTGTGATTGAGGCACTTGGCAAAGAGACTTTCGGCCTCCAAGCTCAAAGTCAGCCAAATGGCCAATACCAAATGGCAACAAATGACCAGCGAAGCGGGTAAAAATAAAGGGAAAACGGAAAACTATGATGATTGCCGCTAATCATAATCACACCAGAATTGTCTGCTCGAACCGCTGGTCATTTGTTTTTGCCCAGTATTTATAAATTATGACACATTCGCATTTGCATTTGCGAGTGGAAGAGAAAAGAATTCTTCGGGCGGCACTCTTCGAACAGCTGCTGCGTGGGCGGAAGACTGGGGGCGTGGTCGAGAATTGTTTTGATGGTCTTCGAGCCGCGGACCACATGCAAAGTTCGTAATTCTTCTTCAAAAACAAAAAACGAGAGTGAGAGCGAACATGTGGAGGAGCTGGCCAATTAAGCAAGTAATTATGGCGAAAAGACACAAGGAAATACACTTTCGCCGCTTTTTTGTGGCAATTGATTAATTTCGTGCCCGCAGTCGCCGGCTAAAAAAAGCTCGCTTTAATTATATAAATTAATGAACCCTGTTTATAAGAGCGGAAATCAAAATACAGCTTATCAGCCAATTAGGCACATTCACAAGTGGGGCGAGCAAACTTAAGGCCATCAAATGACTTAAGTTTTAGTGCCATAAGCAAATACTCTGCAATTTCACTAAAAGCCCTCTGATTACATTTTAATCAGAATGCCACGCCAAGTCAGCACCAATTTCCGCACAAGGAACATTTATGCCAAACAGCTGAAACAAGTTTTTCATTTATTTGGTGCGGCAGTAAATGGGATTCAAAAATCTTTGCCTAATAGTTATTCTATGCAAATCGCTGTTTGCATAAATAAACAGAAATGGAATGCTTGCCTGCATGTTCTGCCGCCCCGAAATCAATGCTCTTGGCCAATTAGCTAGAATTCCGGCGAAAACAGCGGTTCATCTGCAGGATGAAAAAAGTGTAACCAATTCCATGCAAATGGCTGAGTGCTGATTCACTTGTCCAGGCGAACATTTCTCCAAAATCGAAAATGTTTGGCTGCCGATTGCGTGGGCGGCTCACTCCGCGTGCAGAGGTAAACCCGCTTAGTCATTGGACCTATTTTTGCATCGGATTTGCGGCTTGGAAACACCCACCCTGGAAATTGTTAGTTGCCGACGTCTTTGGACGCTTTTTTGGCCATCTAATGCTGCTTGGCCTAAACGATTTGCCGCACCAGTTTTGTTCTGCGACATTTCGGCGAGTGTGGGTGAATAAACTTCATGGTTTCGATGGCAAAAAACATTGCCATTGGTTGACAATGAATGGCTTTTGTTGCTGACTTTGAGAAATACAAAAAAAGGGAAAAAACATGCGTTGTTTTCGTATCTTTGAGAGCGAGAGTAAACGGCTGGACTTGAATGTGAGTTTTGACAACCTTGAATGCTGAGATTTGAGGCATGGAGTGCAAAATGACTGGACATTAGGTCATGGAAAATTACTGATTACTTACAAGCTGGCAAAGATGATGGCTTTTTAAATAGGCAGCACCTACTTTCCGCACAGGTACACATACATTTTTAATCAGCTACCCGTCGTTTTGAACTTGATTTAATCAGTGGCGATAAGAGATAACTGCTATATATAGTTGAAGTAAGCTGGCACTTGTTTATCAATCAATTAGCTCTGGCTCAAATGCTTGGTATCGGGCTTATTTATCCAAGGAGACAAATGTTGACTGTGGCATTAGTGAGCGATTTATCTGAAAAATCTCTGGCCTGATCGCTTTGGGGCAATAAATAACAGATCTGAATGGCCCCACATAAATCACTCTGCCAATTTGAAATTCGTTTATTATTTAATTCAGTTTCTTTTAATTCCATTTCTCCACCTCTCTGCCGGCTTTGGACAAGTGAGCATTAGTTGAGCAAACTGGCAAATACGAGGCACCCAATGGGAATTAAAGCTGCCGAGTTGGGCATTAATAAATCAAGTTCAATTCAATTAGTGCAATCCGGGGACACAAACAGTTTTCATTTCCCCCATCGGCGGGCTCTCATAACCTACGACAATTTATAATGCCACAGCGAAGTGGAAAGAAATGCAAATGCAAATGCAGATTGCAGATTGCAACAAACAACGCGGCATCCGAACAAAATGACAATGGAAACGTTGGAAAAGCAATTCGCTAATAACGCAGCAGCCAATAAATTGTTAAACAAATGTTATTCAGCAATCAATAAATGAGCTGAGCTGCCGCCAGAGTCTGGTGAATAATACATGCGGAAGTGGGTGGCTGGAGGTTCCGCCCACCCGAAACATGTTGTAACTGCCATAAAAAGCGACTTTATATGGCATGGCGGTAATTTCGATCCGGCATGAATTTGATTTGCACCTTAAGCCCGTAATTTTGCACGAAACAATGCCTATAATTCAATAAAGAACCATAAAGAGAATTACTGAAACGCGCGCGCAAAAATCTCTGGCGATGAAAAATATATAATTTAATCATTGGAGTGTGCAAAACATATAAAACGCATAACATAATCGCGTTGCGTAATATATTTCACACATTTCACTTGCCCGAATCGCCAAAAAGTGACAGAAAAACGTTCTTTGAATGAAAGAAAATGTTGCCAATGTGTCGGGAAAAATGTTCTGAAAAAATAGCAAATATGTGCGACCTTGTCCCTGCTCGCTCAATATGGCACACATTTGGAACCGATCCGGAATGTATCTCACGATCCGCGATCCGCTGGCAATTTTATGCACAATGACTGCAGCTGACTAATTTCTGGATGGGAATGGATTGGAATGGATTGGAATGGCGCTGATCGCATCAATCGTCCGCTGTCAATCTCCCCAATAGCGAATCTTGTGTGCCCCCAAAGAAATCGCAACTCAAGGCGCACAAAGTGGCGTCAGAATTGTCAACGCAACGAGTTTTGTATCTACGCAATGAAATTCGAAATTCCAAGATGAAATCAGTTAAGCACAAGGCTGAAAAGCGTTTCGCATGCTAATGAATTTTGGGGATGCGATCTTGAACTTGAGCGATGACAGGCCTTCAGTGCAATTAAGGTATCAACGATCATCTGGCTTATCATGGATTATAGAATGCTGCGATGCCATAAAAGCAGGAGATAAATAGACAATTTTTAGAGGAAAGACATATGCTTTCCTAATAGTGTTCAAATAAAAATCTAATTCCCATTTATCAGCATGTGTTTACACAGTTTCCTCTGCTTTTCATAAGATATGCGGCCTGATTGTTGTGGTTGAGAAAACACAACGCTGTCAGAAGTAATGGTGATCTTCAGAAGATTGACTTATTAGGAAACCGCAGTTCAGATCGAAGCAGGAACAGTTTTATGTTACAGCTGTCTCCACGCCCCTGATAGACATGTCAACTAATCAAGCCGTCGTACTACGGGGTATTCCAGCCCAGGGATCTCAGAAATACTCATAAATGTCATCGTCAATTCCCATTCAAGTGGCTCATGCTCAACTCAATTGGACACCCCAGAGCCTCAAAATTCTCGAAGATGTTAAGGTCAATGCAAATTGGCTCGGGAGCAATTCTCATCACTAGAAACACACGAGTGTGTTCGTGAAAAGTATGGGCATTAGAAAGATGTCTGTTTGGCGAACGCTTAAGAATATTAAGTAAATGGCTGGGTACATAGAGCATTAATTGAACCTGCATCTCAAAGTCTGCCCAGGCTGAAGTGTCCATCAAAAAGATGTGTGTATATTTGGGAAGGGTGAGAAGTGCGCATGGAAAAGCTCCAATGTTTCGGAAAGAAGAACAAATACTTCTAGCTGGCCGGTCTAAAATTAGTGAAAGGCGTGGGCGGCTCAACATTGAAAATTGTGACGCGTCTTATGATCCGAATGGAAGTACCTATACACAGCTAAATAAATGTATACGATTGCCCGATTTTTGCAGATCCTCTCCGATAGCAGAGCAGTGAAACAGCCAGAGGGAACGACAAGATGCATGTGCCATTATAAAGTTGAAGGGAAGGACAGCAGATCATAGCCACTAAGGAGGTCCTCGTTATATATGGAAACCGACCACTGATATTATTGTAGGTAGCTAAATCTGCTGAGCCATATATCTACTTCTAATGCTACCCCACTTCGGTTGCAGATACTAGACTACAGCGAACTTGAAGAGAGAACCCGCACATAGAACCCGCTCGCCCACACAGAAGTAACCGGAAATGGGTAAGGACTACTACAAAACACTGGGGCTGCCCAAAACTGCCACCGACGATGAGATCAAAAAGGCCTACAGGAAACTGGCCCTGCGCTATCATCCGGACAAAAACAAAGCCGCCAACGCCGAGGACAAATTCAAGGAGGTCGCCGAGGCCTACGAGGTCCTTTCGGACAAGAGCAAGCGGGAGGTGTACGACAAATACGGCGAGGATGGTCTGAAGAGCGGAGGTATGTCAGCTTGCAGGACTTGCAGGACTCGATTTCTTATTGCTAAACTCGAACTGCTTACTTTCAGGCACGCGCAATGGCGGTCCATCGAGCAACTCGTTTACATATCAGTTCCACGGGGATCCGCGGGCCACCTTCGCCCAGTTCTTTGGCAACAGCAATCCGTTCGCCTCGTTCTTCGACATGGGCGACAACCTGTTCGACAAGAACGTGTTCGACCTGGACACGGAGCCCGACTTCTTCTCCTCGCCCTTCGGCGGCATTGGGTCGCGGCATGGTCTGGGCAGTGGCTTCAGGTGGGTCCAACCGCCGTTCCGTTTTCGGCTACCTGTAGTTCCGTGCTCATCTCTCGCAGGCCCTCTTTCAGATCACACTCCTTCAACGTGCACACGCCGTTCAAGAAGGAGCAGAAGCAGGATCCGCCCGTCGAACACGATCTCTATGTGACGCTGGAGGAGATCTACCACGGCTGTGTTAAGAAAATGAAAATCTCCCGGCGCATCGTCCAGGCGGACGGCAGTTCCCGCAAGGAGGAGAAGTTCCTCGCGATATCCATCAAGCCCGGCTGGAAGTCCGGCACCAAGGTCACCTTCCAGAAGGAGGGCGACCAGGCGCCCGGCAAGATCCCCGCCGACATTGTGTTCATCATCCGGGACAAGCCGCACGCCATGTTCAAGCGCGAGGGCAGCGATCTGCGCTACACGGCGAGACTGACGCTCAAGCAGGTGAGTCCTTGATCGGATAGCATGCGGAAGTAGCTCAGAAGTATATCAGAAGTATGTCAGAAGTATATCAGAAGTATATCAGAAGTTTATCCGAAGTATCTCATAAGTATCTCAGAAGTATCTCAGAAGTATATCATTAGTATCTCAGAAGTATCTCAGAAGTATATCATAAGTAGCTCAGAAGTATATCAGAAGTATCTCAGAAGAATATCAGAAGTATATCAGAAGTTTATCAGAAGTATCTCAGAAGTATATCAGAAGAATCTCAGAAGTATCTCAGAAGTATCTCAGAAGTATATAAGAAGTATATCAGAAGAATCTCAATAGTACCTCAGAAGTATATCAGAAGAATCTCAATAGTATCTCAGAAGTATATCATAAGTATCTCAGAAGTATATCAGAAGTATCTCAGAAGAATATCAGAAGTATATCAGAAGTTTATCAGAAGTATCTCAGAAGTATATCAGAAGAATCTCAGAAGTAGCTCAGAAGTATGTCAGAAGTATCTCAGAAGAATCTCAGAAGTATATCAGAAGTATATCAGAAGTTTATCAGAAGTATATCAGAAGTATATCAGAAGTATCTCAGAAGAATCTCAGAAGTATATCAGAAGAATCTCAATAGTACCTCAGAAGTATATCAGAAGAATCTCAATAGTATCTCAGAAGTATATCATAAGTATCTCAGAAGTATATCAGAAGAATCTCAGAAGTATATCAGAAGAATGCCAGAAGTATATCAGAAGAATCTCAGAAGTAGCTCAGAAGTATGTCAGAAGTATCTCAGAAGTATATGAGAAGAATCTCAGAAGTATATTAGAAGTATGTCAGAAGTATCTCAGAAGTATATCAAAAGTATATCAGAAGTATATCAGAAGTTTATCAGTTGAATCTCAGAAGTAGCTCAGAAGTATGTTAGAAGTATGTCAGAAGTATCTCAGAAGTATATCAGAAGAATCTCAGAAGTATATCAGAAGAATGTCAGAAGTATCTCAGAAGTATATCAGAAGAATCTCAAAAGTATCTCAGAAGTATCTCAGAAGTATATCAGAAGTTTATCAGAAGTATCTCAGAACTATCTCAGAAGTATATCAGAAGTATCTAGAGGAATGCTAAGGCAATTGGGAAATGAACTGACCAATAGCTCATAGTCCTGAGCCACTCCCAGCCAGCGAATTCGCGTCATGTTTCTCCAAGGGCGCCTAGCCTAATTCCACTTCAGTCTCAGCCATCTTAAGAGCCCGGTTTCCATGAGGGAGCTGCGGCTGGGTTCTCACAGAATGGCGCCCAATTAGAGGCGCAGCCAGTGCCCAAATCAAATCGTAATGAAATCGGGCAGACAAAATGGTTATGGCCAGATTTACCATATACGCGCCGAGCAGCAAAGCAGCCGCCAAATTGGTCGACATGGTCAAGTTTCAATTAACGGAGCCGGAGAATGGGTTTTGGCCAACAGGCTGCTCCGTAGATTGGCTCCCACTGAGGTGTTAGATTTTTACACGGTCGCCGAAGCGCAAAACTTCGCAGTTGGGGCCAAAAATATGGTCAGGCTGGGAAAAAAATATCGAAAATTTTGAAATTCTCAAAACCAAGCGGCGAACAAGCTGAAGTGACACGCCACTGAGTTGGCAGTCATGTTAAAATTGTTAATTGCATTAAGTAGATTAAATAGTTGACTTGGCTCCGTCGCAGATTTTTAACATTTTATTGCTTGTTAGTGCGACAAATTTAGTAAATATTTTTGGGCTGCTCGCTCGCTGCCAGCCACTTTTGGCATAGTTGGCCAAATATTTTCGCTGCCTCTGTTTTGAATTGAATTTATGAATTCCGTTTTGGCTGTGCTTTTGAGCTAAAAGTGTCATGTTGCTGCTTCTATATAGCAATATTTGACACGGTTATTTGGCGCTGAGTGGACAATGAGTGGACAATGTGAATGGGCCTAATTGAAATATATTTCGGCCAGAAGTGTATGAATTATAACATATCTAGATTTACTTGCCAATCTGGTTAACAAGAGCCAATAAATCTGCGCTTCAAGATTCCGTTCGACCCAATAAAGCAGCCATAAGGCAATTGGAGCTCCATATATGACCATCCACATAATTGCGAACAGCGTTTTCAATTTTTTCTGTCATATTCTCTGTGGCAGTAAATTTAATGCGACTCATAAATTACATCATCGTTTACGATAATATTGAAGTCAATGAGTTTCGAATTAATTCTTGCTTTACGTTTTTGGTCTTGTGTTGTTTTCATTCGGATGCATATGGCTGATGATATATAGACTGAGCAGTTTCGGTTTGAATTCTAAATTCTGCTCACCGGTTGGATTCCGCACTTTCCAAATGGAAATCAAATTGAACAATGCTTTTGTTTTCGAGTGCCTGCGCCAAACTAACCCGATGGACAATTCAAGGATTTCAAGGATGTGCGGGTGTAACCAGAACTCCTGGTCCTGTGTAGTTGATGGCCAGACGTTGTTGTTTTCGATGTCTGCCCAATGGCATTGTCATTCGACTGGTGGCCCAAATGATTTGGTGTCCTCTTTTTTCACTTTTTACGAAAAAATTCCAAGTTCTATACAAAACCATTTTGGTAGTCGAGAACTTCGTTTGCATTTTGATGACAGTTGTCAATTGGGTTGGGTGGGCGAAAAGAGTTTGGGCAAAAAAAGAGGCGGAATAATAATGCCTTATGACATGCGATTGAATGCTGTTGATTCGTTTTCCCCTCGAAAATCGGAAAAGTTCCAGCTAAACCTTCACTCAGTTCAGCGAGAGTGATTGTCTGGAGCAGTTTGGAAAAAATGGCCAAAAGCGACCATAAACTGCAAAATATATGCCGGAATTTATGTTCCCTGCCTGACACTCTCCGTTAAGCTGAGCCTGACATTCGGATTTATCGCCCAGTGATGACTCCATGCACGCAGAGAAAAAGTGGGTCCCATAAGTATTATAAGTAACTACTGAACTTGGGTTGATAGTTGCACACTTGGTATGCGAAACTCACAGCGAAATTGGCAAATCACCTGATTTTTTCGCAGTTCAGCTTATAGCTCACAGGCTGGGCAACGGGTTTCCATATCCTTTCCTAAACTCCCGATTCAGATACGGATTTATCTTTATCGATGGGAAGTGCTCGCGAAATCATTTGTACGCCCTTTGTTTTCGGATAGCGCTGTTCTGCTTTTTATGCTCCAGCTGCCGTAAAAGGCAGCAAAGTATTTAAGCTGTTTTTCTGTCTTTTTGGCCGCGACAACATTTTCAACATTTTCGACATTTCCATTAAAAAATATTGATGCTGGTCGTCGTCATCACGGGAACAGGTTGTTGTTGCTGTTTTCTGGTCTGTCGTCATCAGTTTATGTTGTCATCGCTTCAAAATCGCCAGTCGGCGAATACTCAATACCGATCGGCGATACAAAAGTACGCGCATACGAGTATATATTTAAATATTCACAAGGTGTGCACTTTGGTTTTGTCGCAATTTATATCGAATTTATATTCGAGGCGATTTCTTGTTGAATTTACAACTTATTTGTGCTTTATTGGGTGAGGCTCGGGCACATTGACATCCATTTAACACGTGTCCGGCAAGTTCTTTGGTTACAAATCACTTGTGACAAGTTATGGAACGGCACAAAATATTATATCATCTGTCGATGGGCATCGAAAGGGCTTGTTCCGATTGCGGGCTTAGATCAAAAACCTTTTTTCCAGTTCTGCTAACCATAAATCACAGTTGAGGTAGGGTTTGACATGCCATTTATGGGTTGTTTATGGGTTGCGCCGCAAAGTTTGAAACGTAAAATGTAGCAGTCCGGACCCGAAAGGATTACCATAGATAATGTGTCATCTTGGGGTTCCTTATGGCAGACTAACGAGGCAGAATATATGATCATAGCTCCGAGAACTTGGTCTTCTTGAGTGACTCACATGACATACACTTCCTGTTTAATAAGCAATGTTCATGGCCAAAACCCACAGAATTGATAAGATAAGCCGCACGCTTAAGTATCAGTATCCCAATTAAATCGGAAAATATCGAAGTATTAAATTCAATGATGTTCGTCGCAGAATTTCCTCGGGGAAAAGGTTCAATCAATGGCAGTTTCCCAGTTCGGACGGCAATTAATTGAGTAAGCCACATAACTGTCTGGGCCGAAAGCAGAACTGATTGATGCCCATCTTTTAGTGGGCCAATTAAACAAGTCGCTTGTCAAGCGAACGAGCCGAAGTATCAATGGAAAACATGGCCAAAAGAAGGAGAAAGTGGTCGGAAAAGGACATGGCAGTGTGTCAACAAGATGTTTAAACACGAATTAGGCGACATAGAAAAGGATTTACAAATGTTGTGTTCGATGCGAAGCCAAACAAGCATTTGAGCTCCAATGGCCGGCCACCTAAACAGGATTACCCGGGCAAGATTGATAGATTCCACTCGACAGCGGCACCCATGTGTTGTGTTTGCCCATTTCGGGCTTGGGCGGGAAAGCAGCAGGGAATTGAGTTATTGGCCGGGGTATTTGCTGACCTTATTGATTGATAAGCCGAGAACCAAAGTAAATATTATAGAAAGTAAATACAGTAGGTGGGGCTACGCCTCGTGGGAGACACCATCTAACTAGTGTGTCTTGTATTTCATTCTTACAGGCCCTGTGCGGCGTTGTCTTCCAAGTTCCTACCATGTCCGGCGATAAGTTGCGCATCAGCACCATGCAGGAGATCATCAAGCCGAACACGGTGAAGCGCATCCAGGGATACGGCCTGCCATTCCCCAAGGACACGACGCGCAAGGGCGATCTCCTGGTGGCCTTCGACATCCAGTTCCCGGAGAAGCTGACCGCCGCCCAGAAGGAGGTGCTCAGGGACATGTTATGAGCTCCTTGGGAGAGTCCAGGCGCTTAGTCATCCATTCTAACGCACTAAAACCAAACCGATCCATCGCCGATCAATGGCCCATTCATACGTCGTAATCACAACCCCATCGAGATCTTGCTCCCATTTTGCTTGTTTTTGTGTTCAGTGAAACATTTGCGCATTTTTTACAGGAACTCCTCTTAACAATCGGTTGTGCTCATCTGCGCCACGAACGTGTTGCATAATATGTATGTTGACCATAGTTATTATATCATTAATTCTTAATTTATTTGTCTAAATTAAAGCTAAATTTAATAAAATGACACACAAACACGTGGAAGAAAAAACAAGCGACATGCCCGAGTCCAGTTTCTGTTTCAAGGTGTAGTTGTATTTATATTTCAGAGCCAGTCTTCAAGTTGTTTAAACATATAATTCTTGACAAGACTGCACTTTGGTGGAGTCATGTTTCTGCAATTGTAAAGTTTTCTGCGAAAGGAAAAGTGGAGTTGCCTTCTTGGTAATCGCAAAGCGTTTGGCTAATTAGCTGCCGTTTCCAGTCGGTCGCCCCCCCACAGAAAAACACGCCCATGTCAAATGGAATGCTGCTCGTTAAGTCATTAAAATTGCATGAAGTCAAAACTTTATGGTCTGCAAAGTTTGCGTCAAAGCCGAGCAACTAGCCCAAAAAAAGGAGCACATTCTGGCGAGCCGAAAAAATGAAACGGTATAAAAGAATGCTAGAAAGTTGGCAGAAGAAGCAACTTCAAAGCTGGCAAATGGTAATTCGTTTAGCAAGAAAGCCGGCGACAGACGGGACTTAGACATCCACATCGCCACGAACGCATTTCATTTGCAGACAATAAACAGCAGCAGCAGCAGCAGCAGCAGCAGCAGCAACAACAACTCGAGGGCAGAGTAAATAAATTAAATTTTGAACAACTCTTTGCATACAAAATAGCGCCGGGGAGGGCGCTTCAGCTTGGCCAAAAAGATTCGAGAGCTTGCTCAGATTTCAAACACATGCCACCGAGGAGGAGTCGCCGCAGCAGGGCGGAAGGATCAGGATGGGCAGGATGGGCAGGATGGCCAGGATGTGCAATGGATATGGGACGCAGGGCCGAGTGTTCGATCTGCACGTGCCAGGACCACTCCAAGGACCTCTGCCGCTGACTCTGTAACAATTCGTTGCGATTTTCCACTTATTTGCTGGAAAACCAGAAAAGGACGAGCCCAGCACTGAGAGAAAAGCAATATATACACAAGGAAAATGGGTAAATGCAACAAATAAAGCAGGCAGATGGATGTGAAATGATTACCCTACACTTTTGGAATTTTCCTATTTTTTTGGGTTTTAGCATTTGAAAGCACCTGAATATTTGCTGAGTGTGCCAATTGACAGAGTTCTGGGATAAACCCTAACCTCGTAGGCCGAATTCGAGGCTGCGGATGAGCCAGCAAGAAGTCGGCTGTGCCATTAGCATTGGAGGGCAGGACGCGGAGCAGGAGGAGAGTCGAAATCACAGAAAATCATCGACAACTGGCAAATGTGTGAATTGAATTTTCAAACAATTTGGCCCGTGCAGGGAGAATGCAGTGCTCGTCATCGGATTGCTATCCTGGTTTCGGTTGCTGCTCCTGGCGCTTTTCCCCGGCGCGGCACATTTCCCCGGTTCACCCGCTGGCCAGGATGGCAACGTGCATGATTTGAGATTTGATTTGGGCGGCGGCCACATTACAGTCGCTAAACCTCGGCTTCCGTCCCGTCGTCCTGGCATCCTGGCAGCCTGGCAGCCTGGCATCCTGCGCTTCAAAGGCGGGTTTTAAACATTTCGCTCACGTCTCGGATGTTTATGCCATTAGCGTTTAAGTTGCCCATACAAAGTGCGACTCGTAAATAAGCAAACGTTCCTTTGTCTTGGCTGCCACTCCTGTTTTCATTGTTGAGGCAGAGGTAATCGATGCTCAGGCTAGTTATGGAAAATTATCGAGAAAAGCGATACAGCTCGAATAAATTCCAGGCGTGCCTGCGACTTGGTGCTTTACTAACCAGTAAAGAGCTGTTGCTGCTCCTAAACGAATTCATTTGGACAAGTACAATTTATTACCGCCAATTTAAGGGTTCCCACAAAATGCAGGCTACAAACTGAAGCCTTGTGAAAGCCCAAAAATATGCTAGACACAATCACACGCAAATAATTTATCTGCACTCTATGCAGCACGCCGAGCAGGAGCAGTGGTAGCTTCCCAGGTCTGGATACATCTCCTGTTCCTGATCCTGTTCCTGATCCTGTTCCTGATCGGAAATCCTCTTCCTCCTGGCCGAGCGATACAGTCTGCGGATGAGAGCTCCATACGGTTTCCGGGTCACCAGGTGAGTAGTGGTCTTGTGTATTTCGTAGACGCAATTGGTTTCGAGACACACAAAAGGCTCCTGCTCCACCTGCAGGAAATCATCCAGCGTGAGAACGGGAGCTGGGATTGGTAGCAGAGTCCGCTGGTTCAGCCTGACAATCGCTTTGTTCTTCCTGAGCCGTCTCTTCTTTCCCATACCGATCTTGCTCCTCTTGAGCCCACTTTTCTTGGGAGGATTGGGTGCTGTTATAGCGGCTTGGATCTCCGCCTCGAAGGATTCCTGGCGCTTGGAGGCCTTGCTCTTCAAAGCCGACACCATGTTGTAGCGGTTCTGGATATCGTTTATGTTTCTCAAGGTCTGCTCAAAGGAAACGTTGACTTCTTCGACTTCCTGCAGCGTATTCCACAGATTGTTTTTCATAACTGCTGCACGGGAAAATTTTATACAATAATTTGAATATAAGAATGCACACTCCACTTTCGAAAAAATCACATGAATATACAGCCCTGCCAGATTGAAAAATCAGGGCAGCTAGATGTCTGTTTTTCTCGCTGCGTTGTCACTGGGAAATTCCGATATGACCAGCAATTACTAACTTAGCTTATCGCAAAGCAGACTGATAAAATGTTTTGATGGGAAAACCAGCACCTCAAGCAGGTTTTGGCCACTATATATAGCGGGGAAATCAAGTTACTACTTCAGTTCTGAACCCTCCTTGCTTTGGAAACATGCCGCCACCACCTCACCAGCCCCACCACCCACACCCACCAAAGGGTCCTGCGCATCCTGGCGACCACCATCCAGGACCGCATCCTCCGCACCACGGAGATCCGAAGCACCACCACGGACACCACTAGGCCTGTGGACAAGGACTATGAGTTGGATTCAATTTTATACAAAAAACAAACTTGATGGATGCGACATTTCTAATAATGATTCTTACCTATGTAAATCAAAATAATAAAGGCCTGTTGTAAATCGTATAGCTACTACTTTTTATGTCTTCGATAATGATGACCCTACTTAGCTTTTATTTATTTTAAAGTCACCTATCAAATTGTTAAATATCGTTTGAAAATTTTAGTTAACTCTGTTACCTTGACTTGCCTCAAGAAAATGCGGATATGGCTTGCTACCATATTTTTCACTAACAACTGCTTATTAAATAAGAGAAACTCTATAGTCGACTTAAATAAGTATGATTTTAAACACTGCAAAATCGAAATACTTTGTGAATATACTTCTCTAACACAATTATTGATCCCTGTATTAATTTATGTTTTTTTGACAAATTTGAGCATATCCATATCACAGTGCTTGTAGTCATAAACTATCTGCGGAGTCTTCAATAATTATATAGACATATCACTGAACAAATCTTTTCTTGTTGTTACTAATTTCAAATATCATACATTTGTTTTACTGGGCGTAGTGTTGTTGTGGGAAAGTCTGAGGAACTTATCAGCTGAACTGTCTTATCTGGCATTTAGATAAGATTTCAACGTTTTCGAATCTTTTTCCTATAAATGGAATGACAGAATAGGGTTTGGCTTAGTACTCAACTGCAGTGAGAAAAGTCGAGATGCCGCCACCACCACCGCACCACGACCACCACCATCATCATGGTCCTCCACACCATGGTCCACCACATCCCCCGTTCCACACGCCAGTGCATCCGATTTATTACGAGCCGCCTCACGGAAACATTTCCGGCTACCATCCTCCGCCGCCGCATGGTCCGTATCCACATGGGCCAGGTTACGTGGCCCGAGGACCTCCAATGCATCCGCGATGAGAACTGAGCTGTAATCGAGATCGGTCAATATAATGTGATAGCAATAAATGTACACTTGTATGTGATTAAAACCAAAACTTTTACTAAATATGTCAACTGACTTCAGTTAGTCACCCGAAAAGTGATTGTTTTGATACTACCCAAATCCAATTTGGTCAGAAAGGACTTATTCTATTGGTTGTAGCTTCTGTGCCAATAAACAAAACCATTTCGGGCATGACTGTATATGCAGCTAAGAAGATAAGGTGGTTTATCGGAACTAATAGACCGCCATAAAGACAATCCCCCGGAATAGCTATTTTCGGGTACTATAAAATTCTTAGGGTAACACGTCATTAATAATATTTCACCAAGCAAGCAATCAATTCATCACTGGTTATTCATAAATGGGCTTATCGTATCAGTCGAATGTCATGCAATCTTAACTGAGCATATCCGTGATTTATTGGCCCTAGGTCACATTAACCAGTATTCTATTTGCTCAAGAAAAATGTTTTTGTCTTTGTTTTGAAGCCAAACTATTAGTAATTACCCCTATAAGCCCGTTGTAAACCTTATCAATGAGTTGTTTGGACTAACGGCAGATAAGTGCAATCTTATCGATAGGAAATACGCATTTGCTTACATTAGTCATACCAACTTAGATTATTAGGGTGGTTTTTAGGGAAAGTACAATGGGGTTTATACAAATGCGGATGATATATTAAGTATCTTAAATAGGGCAAGTTGTGCCACGCCAATTTGTGTTTTAGTAGTGCAAAATATTAAGAACCCATAGGGGGAGTGCTTTTTAAGAGATAAATATTACTCATCCGCCGTGTTGGCTGGTGTGGTTATGACCTTTGGGCTGGATAACTACCGAGTTTCGCAGTAGACCCGCCCCTTTGCGACCGCAATCACTCAGGCGTTTAATAATTGACTGCATCTGCGGTTCAATCCCATCGAATCGGGGTGGGCGGTGGAATAGAGCCGGGGAAAAATCAAGCAAACGGCAAATAAAATTTATAACAAATCTAACACACATACATCATTTTGATATGGCCACGGACACGTTGCGTCCGTCTATTTGCTCAAGGATGGCGGCTCCTTCGGGTGGCAGCACATGGACATGGCCGAGCTTCCATGTGGAGCATCCAGAGCTGGAACAGGAGCTTTAGCTGGAACTGGAGCTGGAGCTGGAGGCAACTTTGGCCGGGGCAGACACATTAATTTTGCTGCTCGCTTCCCTAACCGCATGCAATTTTTCTTGGCTGGCTGTGTGGCTCCCCCGGCTATCGCCTTTCAATGGCAGGAAGCGCAGCCCGGAGGAGAGTGGCTTGCGGATCCTGGACGGGATGTGCATAGCCCACATCCTTCAGCCAGTCAGTTAGTCAGTCAGCCAGATAAGTGCGGTTTATGTGCAGCACGTAGACGGACTCAATACACTCGATAAATTGCGGCTGCTTGGAAGCGGGCAACTTGACCGCCTCCAAAATGGGTAAGCGGGTGGTACAGTGGCGGTGCGATCACTAGCTCCAGCTGATTGACTCAAAACCAGTAGTGTGTATGCGGCAAAATAGTTGTTTCAAAAAGGGTTTGAAAACAGAGCACTTTCCTCTTACCTTAACCTATATTTAACTTTGATTTATATCGCGGCTGCTAGTATGTGACCCCCACTTTTCGTCAACTAAAAGAGGGAGTAACGGAGTATCGAATTGATGCTGTGCAGTGTTTTCTTCCAACGAAAACTGCAAGTGCACTTTGACCCCAGACCCACAGCGAGCTGAGTGCGACCCGCCTCCACGAAGTTAACTCAATTTCCGTTCGATGGGCCGCACTTGATTAAATAATGTCCAGAGGCATTTGAAAGCCGCATTCCGATTGGAAATGCCGGCGAGCCTCTTCACAAGCAAACAAAATTCCATTGCAAATTTGCCCATATTAAAAGCTCATTAAAGATCAAATGCCCGTGGCCAAAACCCTTGGTTGGGTGCCCACCATCCCCGGGAAAACTCATCCTGGCAACAGCATTCCACGGCGGGGAAAAAGGAAAGCTCGCAACGGAAAATATGTTATTAATTCAAATTAATATAATCCAATTTTTTTGCTTCCCCGGAGTCGGGAAATGGAAACTACTTTCTCAGCGCCGTCGCGCATCACGGAAAGATGTTTTCCCTTTCCGCCGCCCAGGGAGGGTCGAATTTTCACGGATGCGGCTGTTCTTCTATGATGTATAGACATTTTCGTATCTGGGTGGGCATGAGAAATGGCCTGGTTTGGCCTGGGTGGATTTGGTGGGTGTGGTTGTGCAAAAATGTGGGTTAATAATGAGGCCATAGACAGCAGCAGACGGGCTTAAATTCGCAAGACATTTGTCTTGGCTGTGCCATCACGTTGTTGCATATGATTACTTCTTGGTTTCCATTCTTCAGAGTAATGGGTTCATTTGTTAAAGGTTAATGGTAGATGCCCCGAATTTCTCATATACGATGGGCATTCCTTCCTGAACCTTTCATCTGGCACTTTCCCCATTGAGTTGTAAGTGGAAACAATCGCATCAAATGCGATTGCCAGCAATCTTTTCTCTTATTTAACCCACATTCGAAGCTCATTCGATGGCAAATCAAAGACAGACTTCATTCCAAACGCGAAGGCATAGATACACAAAATACACTTAAGCAAATCATTTAAAGCCAAAAAGTGCTTTGAAATGCAATGTAATGCTATAGAGTATTGAGTGAGTTATTTGTGTTATATCTATTACTTATTTGATATTTTAAGGGCCACATGCTTACCCAAACTATTTCTTGCAGTGCAGTGCAAACTTTTCCCTGTGCAACAGTTGCTGCTCTCTGGCAATTGTTAGCTTGTTGGTTCGATAAACTCCCTGCCAACAACCAAACAAGGCCCACTTAGAATACCACTCCCATTCCCAATCCCAAGCCGGATCCCAGCTGCAGCCAGTTCCTGCTCCAATGGGGTTCAGTTCCACGGCGAATGCCCGGCGGTGAGCAAGTGGGCGAATCTGGATCTGGTATCTGGTATCTGGTATCTGGCTGAGTGCCCGACGTAAAACGGAAAACTTGTTAGGATGGATAAACTGCGAGGCAACAATGCGGCCGGCGAGAATCCCTTCAAGCGGCCGATGAATGCCCTCCAGAAGCAGTGGTACCGCGTTTTGCTGGCCCGCCGTGTGGGATTCGGGCAGCGTCCTCCGCCCGATGAGAAGGAGCCAACGTAGTAAGTCAATCGCTGCCACAGCGGCCCCGTTTCAAATCAAATTGTGTGAAAATAGCAATTTCCCGCGGAGCTAATGCATTTCACCATTTCCACATGCCTCGGGAAAAGCGCCGACATTTGTCGCCAGCGCTATGCGGCATCGTTCCGGCGATACAACGAGTGTTTCCGCCGGGAAATGGCCAAACACGAGGAGATGCAGCGATGCGCCATCGACGCCATGCGGGTCCACAGGTGAGGGACGGTCTAATCACTTGAAGTACTCATTTCAAATACTCACTGGGTGACAGAACCTTTGCCATCACCACACTGTGGCTGCCTTTGCATTCGAAGCGGGAAATCAACTCCACGCTGGAAACCCTCGAAAAGGTATGCTACATTTCCGTTAAATCTCAGAGTCGAAACCGCTGAAAGGTGTACATATCCAGGTGCTCACCGCCAAGGAAAGACGACGCCTGCAGGAGATTCTCAAGCAGGGAGAGTCCTGGCACTCGCATCGCTAAAGCTACATCCAAGGCCACTACTCGGATTCAGATTCAGATACAGATTCCGAGCCTTGCTCATCCCCTACACATCCTCAGCATCACCATCAGCTGCCACGGCTAAGTGAATTCCATTTAGCTTGGATTTCATTCTCTCAGGCAGCCTGATTTTCCTTCACCGACTTCGTTTTTTACATTTCCTTCGCTCTGTTCTTGAAATTTCGCTGTCAGTGGCCCAAGCATTGTCGTAAATATTTAATACCAGTAAAAGTGCAAAGTTCACTTTGGCTAAAACCGAAACTGTGTTGGGACTAGATCAATTTTCTGGCAGGGGAACTACAGGATTATTAAAAGGTTATAGAACTTGCTGCACTTCAGCTGCCATGATTGCTGACACTCACCTAGCTTTCCTGAATGGCAATTCTACTTAATTGAATGTATAGTAATACTATTATTTCTTAGCATCACAAAAATCTGTTATTTTAACCCAGTTTGAACGTGCACCATATTTCAAGGGTTCTGGATTTATTATGTTTTCGTTGGCAATCGATTTAGCCTATTAAAAACTGCTGCCTAGGGCCAAGTTCTTCAAAGTAAATGTGTCATGTGCCGAGAAAGGATTCCCCATAAAACACACTTGTTGGGGGAGGAAAACGGCGTAGAGGGAGTACGGTGAACTTTTCCCAAATCCCCGAAAATCTGAGAGACAAAAGCGAAGGCAGCTTCCAGCGTAACCCACTCACATATCCCTGCGATACTAGGCCAAACAGCAGAAAGGACTCAACCCAATATCCTTGCCAACAGCAAACAACAAACAACGGAAACAGCAGCAGAAGCAGAAGCTTGGCCAGCAGAAAAACCGAAGGAAAACTCGACTCGTAGGCTCGAAATGCCGCAGCTGTTTCACTTTGGCATATTGCCGACTTGACGGCAAAAACAGCAAAAAATCGCCAACGAAACTATTGAACAAAGTGGCGCCTGTCGCACTTTATGACGGGCCTGCAGTGCCCTTTTCGTCCTTTTCCAGGACCTCCTGCTCCTCCGCCTCCTGCCATAATAGCAATCGCAGAAATGTGTTCTAATTTAAAGCCATATATATGGAAAAGCAAACAGAGGCGGAAAAACAACTGATGGAAGAGACAAAGGGAGCAGCTGCCAAGAAACAGGAGGAAATCAAAGCAGGAGGATGTCCACACTGCGAGAAAAAGAAGTACTCTCTTGGGAAAATTAACAATTCAAAATATTTAGGAGGTTTGCTTAGCTATAATAAAATTCTTTCCAGAATAGCATTTTATATAAATACGCCATGAATCATTCAGTTTAGAATGGAGATTTCAGTGTACGGTTTGAAACTGCAGTTGGCCAAAATGATTTTTATGCTCTATGTCTGTTTGAGTTGCTTGTGCCAAGGATGTCGAGGATGTCGAGGATGTCGTGGAACTGGAGAGGTCGTGCCCAGTATCAACATTAGTTCACGGTAATGTCGTGAACTTTTCCTGGCCTCAGCTGTTTGGCTGCTCGGCTTTGTCAGCGTTTATTGATGGCATCAAAGTGTTTTTCAATTTATTTTATTTTCCGCCGCAATTTATTGGCATGCCCTGCGTGTGGCTCGGCTGCTTTTGGCCCTTTTCCCTCGCTGTTTGTCTTGGCCACGGCCAGATGAGAGCCGAGCGGTATGATTGATGTTGCAACAATTTTGCAGCATAATTTCGGGCTGGCCAATACATAATGCAATAGCAGGCAGACACGTAGGAGCCGTTAAGTTTAAATGGCTCAGAGTGCTCAATTGATATGAGAAGGATGTCCTATCGATGGAATCTGAGATGGTTGGGGTGGAAAAGGTGGCCATCACTTTCGAGCGTTATTCAAATACAAATTTTGCACACATTCAGTACTGGCAAAGATTGGCAGATGCTGCAATTCAAGCAAAACATTTTGGCCAGCATATAGTTCTCCACGTTGAGCCCAATTGGAGCGCAATTATAGCCCGAAAAACTGCCAAATGGGCAGATGTCAGAAGCCAGCGGAATCCAATCGGAGGGTCAAATGGGGGCCTCTATAAGTACATGAATGAATGCATGCCCTGCTACAATGAGTTGATAATCCCAAAGGCAAATACTCGTTGGGGGGCGGGGCAGTGATATGTCAGTGGCACACACATGCAAACACACGGACATCTATCTATGCAAAGCCATAAAGCAACAATAATAAACGCACATCATCATCATCAACGGCGGCAGAGGCTTTCCCTCAGCCTGGCCGCTTTTCCGCCCCACAAGCGCTGCTGCTGTCAGCAAAAAGTATGAAATATCATCTAAAATAGGAAATGCGTAAATGCGAAATCCTACGGAACGGAAACCCAACTGAAAGCGATGCGCCAACGAGAGCGCTGATGATTTCCCCACTTTCCATGCTCTCTCTGAAAGTCAATTTTTCATTTAGATAACTTTGACATACGCAAACGTCATGGAAAGGAAGCAGCGCTGCACAGTGGTATGCATTCCATGCTCATTCCAAATATTACCAATGAAACTGGCCTCGAAAGTTGAAGCTTTGATGTTGAAAATCAATCAAAATGTAGTAAAATTCAGAGCTGGCTTAATAGGTATGGTGCAGTTTACTATCCCTCATCCCTGGCACCACTGTGCCCTTGGGGCCTTGCCACGCCCCACGCCCCACGCCTCGCCGCCCACCACCCCCCGCGCTTTGCATGTGTGCGTCTGCATACAACGATTTAGATTTGGGGCTCAGCCTCGACTGCCATTCCTGCTGGCGCCAGTCAGTTCATCCTGAGGGGTTTCATCGCGGAAATGCGGGCAGCGTTTTGATAAATGAATTTTCCCCAGCTCCAACACACCCCCCACCCCCTGGGTCTTATGTGTGCCTGGCTTAAATGAAATGTTAACAATTAAACGGAGTCGGCGGAACGACAGCGAAGTAACACGAAAAGACTATCAGAAAAGAGCAAGTTGCTGGCTTTGTGGGGTTAATACGCTGCGTATACTTAATAAAATAAATAATTTCCTTCGAGGGGTGGTTGTGATATTTGTTTGTGTTGATTTCTGTTGATTTCTGCTGCCTTGCGTGGGTTGTTTTGGCTGGGTGGTTGTTTAGTGTAAACTTAAGAAAACAGCAAAACATAAGTGGCAAAAGGGATAAGGATTTCGGTTTCATTAAGCAGGGTTGTTCCTGCCGAGCAACAGAAGTTATTGTGTATTTACAGAGTCTGGCTGCTCACCTGCCCCCAGTAAGCAGACACTTACACATTGTTATAATCATAAAAAGTATTAAAAAGTAACGAGAAGATGCTACTTTTCCGGGGCGCTGGGTGGATGGCGCATTCTGAAGTTGATTGCCCATTTTGGATGCTCACTTGTTTACCAACTGGAGTCTTTCCTCTGTGGGGGAGGATCCTGGCCGCGGCTTAGGTACAAAATTTGCGCTTACGTTGCGTGAAACGATGCCGCAATAAAGCCAGGGAATTTGGTGGGTTCGCACAGGCAATCAGGTGAGCTACATTCACTTGTTAGATGAAGTTTCCCTAGTTATTTCCCTTTCCCCGAATATGTTACCAACCGACTACTAAGTCCAAAACACCCAACCGCCACTTTTGCAGCGCAGCACAATCATATTTCACGCTTTGCTTCATCCGAAAAGACAACGCAAAAAGCGCGGGCATATAAAATTTTATATCTCCAGCATAACGCGAATCCCGGGGAATTACCTGGCATACATATAAAATGCCCCGCTGCCGAAAAAGCCAACAACCGGAATCGGGCCTACATTTTAATGAAATATGTTTGAAGTGCAGTGGCAGCTCGTAAATACAACTTTATAGTGATGTATATGTACGCCCATGTGCGCTGCGATTCGGCCAATCCCCTTGAACAGCTGCGAGAGTTCGCATGATATTTTATTAAAGCCCAACTTAACCTTCAATGCGGTGGCGCCACCCACTCCACTCCAGCTCCTGCCACGGACCCCGGCGGGTGGAGCTCTGCTGGCCTGGACGCAGGTGTTGGCTACGTGGTCGAGGTGAAGCAACAAAGACGCCAACCGACTTGGAAGCCACAAAAGCAAACTCCGACCCAGACCCATCAGAAAACCAGACCCGCACCAGACGGAGAGCATCCTGGGTTCCTGGGCATTTTTTGGCTTTGCCTCCGTCTGGAAATGCTCTCGGTTTATTTTCAGTTCGCCGTTGCATACCTTTTTGGCACTTTTGCCGAATTTATCGCATAAGCTTTTCGCATACTTCCGGGTAATTGGCAACACCATGTTCCCCAGAACAGTGGGTGCTTTCACTTGTGTGTTGTGTTTTGTGTGTTGTGTGCTGTGTGCGCATTTAAAGGCGTTAAGGTGCAAATTTATTTGCAGGAAACCTTTTCCTTTGCCCACTGCGTAACCAGCATCCTGGGATCCGTCCGTCCTCCCCGCCTAATGAGCTCTACGGCTGCGTAATATTTCTCGACCCTCGGCACACGTATGGATAGATGGTATGGTATGGGATGTTATGGTGAGGAATGGGGTCCGCATTCCGGTTCCGGGAGAGAACTCTTTGAGGTGCTCGTTAGGGGCAGGCTTCGCACTTGTGGTCTGGACATTATTGTTCAAAATTGTTAAGCACATTTAAGCTTGATTTAGTTGCATATTTATTGCGGCCATTTCAGCCAGCCATTTTAATGCGTTATGTAAACTGTACTTAATTTATGTTCTTTTCCTTTTCATTGTTCAGCGGGGCTTAGTATGCTGAGGACCAGGAGCCTTGGGTGTTAGCCTTGAATTATAAATATTAAGTTATGGATCAAACACAATATTCAAAACTTGTATTTATGCCATTAAAACGCGCTATAAAACGATTTTTCAAAGATTCCATGACTGTCAATTCTATTTTGTGATTATTTTTTGTGATATTCCGAGCGATAAACATTTATGGGTATCCCAGTTGTCCAAAGTCCGATACCTAGGCAATTTATCTGCCATAAAAACGTCCGCAGAACTACCTCCATAAACCAGGGCTAAAAGTGCAGGGCCAAAAGTCCCGGGCCACAAAGGACAACGAGTCCTTATCATAATCATTTCCAGGCAGCTGCGTTGACTTCCGCTTCAGATCGTCCATCAGTGATTTGGTTGGGGCTGAGTAGCCAGTCAGATCCCAATCCCACTCCATGGGCAGTCCAATCCCAGCGACCCTTTCTGTCGATGATGATGATGGAGCTGGAGCTGGAGCTGGAGCTGGAGCAGTCTGTTCCATTTGCCTTCCGCACTGCTTTATGGCCATAAATATTTCATTATGAATT